GGTGGTTGGAGTACTCTCCTCCCTCGGTTTCTTCTGTCACTACATCAAACTTTCGTTCGTTGGGTCTTCATCTCTCTTGCGTCGTACCTCTCGCGCTGTGGTAACAGCATATCTACCTCCGTGTTTGGTTTTTTGCGCAGTATGTTAGACGAAAAACCTGGTACTTCTCTCGTCTTCTTGTCTTCATTATCATTGTTCTATGTATTTTATGATACTACCAATCTTCCACTCCATTGAAATACTGGAGTTAACAACCTAAACCTGTTTTTATACCTGGTGCTAAAACGATGGGTTTGTCCAAAACGAGGACATTTCGAGCTATATAGCTTTCCATTAAGCAATTACATTCTAAAGACAACTTTACCCTATCACGTAAATTCTAAGGTTAAGTACAGTACAACCACTCTTATTCGTAGTATATATTCAGGATACCACTACATAAGTTTAACCACCCTCTCTTACCATCTATATATCGCTCAATGATATATTTATCTAACATGCCGAAGTCGACCGAAATATAAAGGCACGTTCATCAAGCTCCATAGGTGATTAATTGAAGTGGTTTAATCAACTAACTAAGATTAAAAGGAAACAAAAGACGTGCGCGGAGTAATTGAAGAGAACCCCCGGACCGGAAGCAAACGCCAACTTCGCCACCCGAAAGCAAAATAGTCAATGCTCATTAACCCACGTAGACCTAATGTTACCTTATCACAAACCGCATGCGACGGCATATCGATGAACAAAGTAGAATATAAAAAAAAACCGAATGAAACTGAGAAAGAGATGCAATGCTCTTTACAGAAAGAGTGAGATCCCAACGATCACCCAAGCAGCCACTTCATCTATTCGTGCAGTTTACCTGCAGTCAAAAAGTCATTTTAACGTTAAACATATATTGGTGCTATGGTTAATCCAAGTTATGTTGTTTTGTAAACACTTCACAGGCCGATGCATCCTGAGATAAGTGACCTCTCGAACTTTGACTGTATGAAAAACTAAAAAATAATGCACAGAACAGCTAGCCTCTTCTCTCTTAACGTATCACTCCTCTTAGCCCTTTTCGAGTAATTTATATGACACCTCCTACTTACCAGTGGTATGAGCATTCTTTATCAGTCATAGTACGCGCACATGCCTACTTCATGTCTCGGCGTGACGTCATCGCACAGCTCTTCTTTGGGGCTCGCGTCCGCCTTACATATAAATCAGCGCTGTTAATCTACTCGCTCGAGAACATCTTTCGGACGTCACATGGAACATACGTGTTCTGGAAATGAGACGTTACAGACACCTAGGCGTATCAGCGATAACACGGGGAGCGAATCTCTGGGGCGACAACGCCCTCGACTCACGCGCAGACATCATCCAGGCCAACCACAGCACAGGCGCGCCGACACGCGCCAGCGCTGCGGAACCAGGGCGGGCGCGCGCAACACAGCACCAGCTGCGAGCTTCTGCGCCGCGGCTTCATCGGACCTTGAGCACGTTGTCTTCTGACCCTTGACAGAATCTCCTGATGTTTTTCCGTCAATCATCTGACATTACCATATGTGCATGTGTTCTGACATCAACGTCTCTGCCTTAGTCTGACTATAACTTGTCACCACATGTTTCGTGATAACAGTGTACAGAAGAGACAGAGACTTAACCTATTTGCCTATTACGATTGCACTTATGTTTGCTAAGCCACAGTGTATGTGCTGTTACATGCAGAATATAGTAAGCCTCTCATATTTCCATATAGGAAATTTCATCAATAGCGAAAATGGCTATCCCACCTCACGCATGCAATGAGTAGACCTGATCTTTGTGTTTTATAGCTCAGTTGTCCCCGTCCCACAGCGTTCTGTCCAGTGTAGTAGTGGGTAAATTAAGTGCACAACCACAAAGTACTGTCACAATATGTGACATATTGTCTTATGGTGTCATGAATAATGCTTATCGTATTTCCCTTTTTCTACTGATCCAGTTTAAGTCAATTTAATGTTATCCTTTTTGCATCACAATTTTAATTTTCACTGATTTTTTTTTTTTTTAAATTGTGATGATGTGACATTTGTTGAGGTCTGTACCAAACAAACATGTTTTCATACATCTGGGGAAATAGATTTGTAGGCCAGAGCATCTCTGCAAAGCCTTTTTATCACACACCTTACCTTCAGCAAAAAACTGCAGCTTCTGTGATTTGAATATTGCACGTGGCCATATTGTGATTTCAGTTACATTTGTATTATATTAAACCAAAGATTTGTATTTGTATTTACATCATTTGTAAAGAATAGCCTCTGTGCTGATGCACCTATTTTTCGTTCATCAGTGTTACAATCATACCATGAGTGCCTGTAATAGTGACTGAGAGCACACATTCATTAATGCCCTGAACTTCCACTGCTAGGCAATCATTAGCTTTGCATGTGGTATTCACTTTCATTTAGCTTGCTTGTAATATACACTTATTACACAAAATCCCTCATCGGAAGCCAGATACAAACTCACACAGTAAAATGTTTTGTCTACATGCCATATTATGTACATTCAGTCGCTGCCTACAAGTCACCGTTTGGGTCACACTTAACCCACGTTTCGTTCCCAGTCCGCATGTCCGCATGCTGGAGTTAGCTCTGCGCTAGTAGAGTGTCTGCGCCTGCCTGCTATATCATTTACAAGATGGCAACCGAAGCGAAGCGACCTAAGGTTACAGTTTAATCACTTTGAACGCAGGGGACAGAAAGCTGTAGCTGTTTGTTTAAGTGTGTTTGTGTGTAAAACAAGCTAACGTTTAACTGTAGCCACAGGCAGCTTCATGTGTGCTGTCTGTGTGTGTAACAGTATGTGTGCTAAAGTTAGGGACAGTCTACTGAAGCTAGCCAGCTAAAGTTATTAACGTGTTAAAAAGTCTACTTTCAGCAGATGAATGTGAAAACGTCCTTCTAGTGTCAGACTGCACTGACAGCATTCACACAGCACAGTGTAGGAACTAGAAGAGAGACTTACATTGTGTTTGATCCATGCACTGACAGGTAGCTGGTGGTTCAGAGCTCAGTCCCCTGCAGGACTTTCTACAGTGGTGTGACAGAGTCTGCTTGGTACTCAGCAGTAAGGTATGTTACAACCTGCACTAGACTGCTGCCAGGATTCTGCCACACAATTACATATCTCTGGGACTGTCTCTCAGTTAGGCAGCCTATGATCTGTTCTTTCCTGCCATTTTTAATTGTTCAGTATTTAACACAAGTTTGCTGAATTGATCACAGCCTCGCTGACCATCTCTACAGAGGGCAGCTTCATCTCTTCATCTCTTCTCTCTTTCCCTCTAGGTGTGTGTGAGTAAAGAGGGAACAGTGGCCGAGTATGGGATGCTGGCAAAGGACAACATAGAGGAGGGGGAGGTTTTATTCACCATCCCCAGATCAGCTCTCCTCCACCAGGGAACAACCAAGGTCTCAGCCCTGCTGGAGAAAGGTAACCGTTTTAATGACAAAGACGTTTCCCCACGATTGAAACTGCTTGCATTTGTAACTTCTTTGTTTTTCTTTGTGTGCTTCACAGAGAGGGCTTCTCTAGAGAGCCCGTCTGGCTGGGTTCCCCTTCTGCTGGCTCTGCTGTATGAGTATACGTCCTCACAGTCCCACTGGAAACCCTACCTCTCCCTGTGGACCGACTTCAAGGCACTGGACCACCCCATGTTTTGGTAAGAAACTTGTTTTAAATCAGCATCTAACCCCCCATTCTAGAGATCACCTTCTGCTGCTGTGTTAAAACTTTCTTTACAGTAACTCATAGTTCATCCATTCAGGTCTAAAGAGGAGAGAGACAGACTGTTGATGGGAACAGGTATTCCAGAGGCTGTGGACACAGACCTGGCTAACATCCAGAGGGAATACACAGACGTGGTTCTTCCCTTCATTACCAAGCATCCCGACCTCTGGAACCCCGACACACACACTCTGGAGCTGTACAAACAGCTGGTGGCCTTCGTCATGGCCTACAGGTTAGTCCGCATGGGACAAAATACACTCATGTACGCAAAGTTTCTGGATCTCATTTTCCTTGTCTCCTAAATTCACCCATGTAATCACCTTCATCCCTTCCACCACCCTCTCCCTGTTCCTCCTCCTCCTCCTGTCTGTAGTTTCCAGGAGCCACAGGAAGAGGAGGACGACGAAGAGGAAGAGGAGGAAGAGGAGGAGAAGGCTGCCAACCCACCGATGATGGTTCCTATGGCAGACATGCTTAATCACGTGTCCAATCACAATGCTAATCTGGAGTTTACACCGGTGAGGAGACACATCCACTCTTAATATTGACACTTTCTTGTTTCAGAAGTCCAGATTAGTTCAGATAGTTTGTTGTTTAGTTTGAAAAGCTTCTCATCTGAAAACGCAACACTGAGAAGTGCAGAAGTTTGTTTTTTTGTTAATTAAAAAGTATATTTGACATTGAGACTTAAGTTGTGAATTAACTCTCCCGTAATGGAGTCTCAATTTCTCTTCAGTTTTTTCGGACTTTCTATTGTTTGAACTGTCCTTGTCCCCTTCCTCTCTTATTCTCTCGACTCTCCATCTTTCCCAGGACAGTTTGAAGATGGTTTGCGTGCGCCCCATTCATAAAGGCGAGGAGGTATTTAACACCTACGGGCAGATGGCCAACTGGCAGCTGCTGCATATGTACGGTTTCACAGAGCCGTATCAAAGCAACAGCAACGACACCGCTGACATCCCCTTCACCAACCTCTACAAAGCCGCCACACGAGGTGACACATTACCGTACCACAAGATGGACGTTGGAGCACAAACCACTGTAACGAATCAAATAATGACTCATTGGGAACAGTTTAGTGAGGAGGTGATACATGATGGCAAGTTGCCATTAAGGACTTTATAAATGAATAGGAACCAATGCCTGTCACATCTTACTGTTACAGATGTCCAGTAGAATCATGTTATTTTCAAAGAGTAGTCCAGCCCTCTTCTGATTCGGTGACTGTGACCCAGATGTTCTCTAAATGGTCCATCAATGGTGTCTGGTTCACATTACTCAACTATTAAATGTGGCTTTTAACTCTGGTTCAGCTGCCCTCTGTACACCTTCTTCTTTGTCTACTACGTTCTTAGGAATTCACCCTTAATTCAGTGGAAGATAACATTCAGGAAATGATGGATGTGGACCCAAATGCAAGCCTGTTGCTTTGTGCTTCCCCCTAACCTCCCCTCCTCCTCATCCTTCCATCCTCCTGTTCCCAGGTATTCAGTCTGATTCGGACCGGCAGCTGTTGGACGAGCAGTGGGAGATGCTGTGTGAGATGTTGCAGGAGAAAGCAGCCTTTGTCTTTGGCAAACAGGGCTGACCTCACAGACACAGAGCAACATCACTGTGCTCAAGGTGAGGGAGTAGACACAGTTGAAGTCACACTGTTTGCTTGTACACTGCAAGAGACCACTCTGTCGAGGGATGGCTGTTACTGGGAACCTAACTCCTGCTTTGTGTATCTTCAGGTGCTGTGCATGTCTAAGGAGGAGTTCGCAGAGTTCAACGATAATGAAGGATGGGAGGAAGATGAAGAGGAAGACGAGAAGATCTCCCTTGCTTTCTCTAACGAGGGTCTCCCTGAGTTGAAGGCTTCATGGAAAGGACTGATTCACGAAGCAGCCCGTCTGACTGTGAGGTCCTATGGAGAGGACCAGGAGGGGAAGAGGGAGGGGGGGGATGTGGACGGAGACCAGGCGCTGATAGAGGACAAGGTGGCACTTGCAGGACTGAACAGCAGGCGGCAGAATGCACTGCAGGTACGCTACGGACAGAAAAGCATCCTGCACAGACTGATGGAGCTCACTCAGTCGTGAGTTCAGCTGCAGCAGTGAGCCACAGGTGGGGTTCGTTTTTTTTTTATCTCAAGGGGAAAACTAAAATGTCTTTCTCAAAATACACAATCACACACGTCAATAAATGTTTTTTCCTGAAAACAGATCTGGTTTTGAACACTCCTTGTGTCACACTGTCTTTAACACTACCAGTATTAGTGTTGGTATGTACGATTTCTTTGCCATTATCTATACAGAAAACAGAATCAGCAACGACCTTTGTGCTAAATTGAAAAAGCATTAATCTGCAAGGTACAAACCAGCCAGACGCACGCATACGGAGGTATCTAACCACTTATTGGGACTGAGGTCATATCAGAGTGAACATGACGGTCTACAAAACTCATCGTCCCTGTTTTAAACTCCTTGAAAGTTCTAAATGGTCAGTGCTTACCGACAGTGCATCACTTCCTGGCTCTTCTTGCTATTTGAAAAACAAATATCATTCTTAACATTTTATTCTAAATATGAGATGATAATTAATTTTATAATAGTCAGTTTGTGCCTTAACTATTGTTCTGCCTCTTGCTGGTCAACAATGAAAGTGAAAACGATATAACCAATGAAGTGGAATCATTAAAATCACTTTGCTTCTTTCTCCAAACGCCTCGTAGTACTTTATTTAAGTGATTACTCATTATACCCTCTCCCAACCCCCACAAAGACAGAGGTGATCTGTTCATTAAGCAAATGTATATACACATATACATACACACAATACACATACATACAATACAAAAATCTTTACATTTAGGAAGCAAACTAAATGAAGAGTGGGAGTTTACATTTAGACATTTCAATGTAAAGCCCTTTCAAATGTATTCTCTGTCTCCAAACGTGGTGTCATGCATTCATCACAGTCAGTGACAAGCTTGTCCACAGCTTTATCTAGATTTTAAGGAAAGAGTTGAGCTAGTGGACAACAAATCAAAATACATGAAAATGTGCTACAACAATGCAACAGAGGCATGTTTTGTACGCTTTACTCATGTTGATAATCACTATAAAGGTACATTTCCTATTTGAGCAACACTTTTAGGCAAGTCACGAGCAAATCTGGGCCAAAATGTGTCAGGGTTGGCCAGTTACTGCAGTGTCTTCCTGAGGAACTCAACCAGGAGGTGATGGGGGAAACCAAAATCCATCTCAATCACCACAAAGCCCTGCAGCACAGAGAGGGACAGAGAGAGGCAATGTGACTGAAAAATACAACACAAAGAGGAGCAAATTTAAAAAAAATAAAAAAGTAAATCGAGAGCACTCACATCTCGAGGAAGCACCACTGGGTTAGAGATGTCGAATAGGTTAACTCCCTGTTTGTCCAACAGCCTGGTGAGCTCAATCTCAAGAGCTGGAACACACGCCACAGAAGTATTACAGAAAACCACATTACATACTAACTTGGCTTTACCTCTTTTACACAACTGGAATTAAATGAAACATAATGCAGCATGTAACCATTACAGGTTCCACATGCATCTCAAGTATTTTCAAGTTACTTAGTAGTGCTGTTGATCGTGACTGGTCTTGCACATTTTTTGTCTCTTACCAGACAGAACCTTGGGAATGCCAATCTTCTCCACAGCTTCTTTTATGAACTCCACCTGTGTCTGATCCAGCAGCTGCACACAGAGGGAGAGGTGACCTTACATTAACACATGGGCATACTTTGAACAAGCGACAGAAATAATGTAAATGGGAGGTATGGTATCAGAAGAATAATCAATATACTACAATATGTGTCAGTTTTAACTAGAGTTTATACACAACAGACATACAGCTACTCAGTAAAATGTGGTCACGGTCAATTTGTGCAGTTTTTGTGCCAAATTGAAGTTTTCCGGTCTGTTAACTTTTGGGGATAGTGCTTTTATTTTGAAAGATTAGGTCAGTAAGTCTTACTGAAGTTGACCACAGGTGGGTGATGCAGAAATTGTTTCAGGATAAAGTGAAAGTGTTTCCCTCCATGTTCTGGAGCTCTGTAGTTCTATTGCAGCCTGAACTGAACTGCATTTAAATTGATCCCTTTATGTGAAATATCTCAAAACATTTCCCATACCATTTATAATCAATGTTAAAAACACAGCTTTAAACTACAGTATAGTTTTACTGTGGTATTTTCCTCAACAAGAAAACTGTCAGTAAAATCAACTCAAAAACCTTACCGGTTGATTTTGTAAAGGCAGCTCAGCTTGGACTACAATGGTCCTGGAGAGGAAGGAGGATCAGAATCACACAGCAAGCACAGGACATGGACTAAGAATTTGACTTGATATAGTGGTAGATATCCAGATAATATTAGTAATGAACTGATCACTAGCCACTGAAAATAATAGGATATAGAGGCAGGAGCTGGAAGGCAATGAGTGTAGCAGGAGAACGACCAAACATGGCTGCACGGTCTGCTATAAAGGGAGAATTATAGTTAGTTGCAGTGATTAGCTGATGAAGCCTTACACTTTCTGTCTGTTTTTGCTGAAAAAAAATAAAAATCAGCAGCATAGTGACATCTGCTGGTTTGTAGAACTTCCAGCAGTATTGAATGGCTGCTTATTGTTATTACGTTATTTCTTCGGTGGAAATGTTCCCACACTTCAGATTTTATCTTTCTAGTGCACATCGCCATATTTCTCTTTTTATCCCACTAATGTGCATATACAACCAACTGGAACACCCTGAATGCCTTTGGGGAAATGTGGCCCATTATCCTCATTTGAACCACTGCCGCATTTCACCTTTCTGCAGGCTTCGAGAATGGCCATTCAGAACAACTCTAAATCATTTTGACAACTACAAACACTGTATAAAGTGGCTCATTTAGTGTCACCATCTGCCTATGTATGGCAGCAAGTTTGTAAAAACAACAAAGGTCTTACTCTGTCGGGTTACCGTGCAGGATGAGTTTCTTGTCAGCATAGGAAGCTGTGACCTCCATGGCTACATCCTAAACATCAAAAACAAAGAGAGAAACATCACTGAAAACACACTCACATGGCCGACATAGGCACACATTGTCATATTATGTAACAAAGCCTCAGGCGTCAATCAGCCAGTGACATTACGTTCGGAGCAGACTACTCAACACAGTATCGACCTTCCAAAGCAGAACTATATCGCCTAGATGTACTTATGCCTCACTAAATGCTGTGTGAGGCCTCGTTCCATTACACTAACTCTAAAACTTATAAACAATAAATGTAAAATTTGAATGAAACACAAACAGGCCTGTATGGATATCTTGTAATCTATTTACTCAAAATAATAAGCTGCTCTACAATATTTCACTGTTCTACACCACAGAGGAGCGAAACAGTGTGTTTTGGTAGTGTTGGATGCATGGTCAGCACTCAAACATCACATTTTCTGTTTTCTTTAACTGTCTACCAGATGGCTGAAAATGTGCTGCCCCAAAATAATTGTACCGTTTCAAAGAAGAGTGTCGGTGTGTCTGGACTCCCACAGTGGAGCTGCCCAGAAGCCATGACCCAGACGGTCGTACCAATGGTGGAGGTGTTCAGGTGGGGAACTGATGAACTCCACACTCTTAGTTCAGGAGAACCTGATTCCAGCAGACACTGCACACACATACACACACACACACACGCACACAAATATATGTCTCATTTGACAGGTGTATGTTTGTATTTGAGCGAGTTTATGGATGAGGAGGTTTTCCATATTACCTTTCTAATAAATTCCGGCATGGCAGTGGAGAGACTTGTCTTGAAAAGTTCCTGAAATCACATTAATAAATATAATGTGAGAATGAGTTTAAACCGAAGTAATTTAAGTTTAAACATCTGTGCCCATCTGATTCTTGTTAGGAAAGATGTACACGTGCATAGCATATTTTATGTCTGCAGTGTTTTTCTCATATTCAGAGCCAGGGGGCAGGGGCCAATCTAGAGAAATATTCATGGGTTAGCAGGATGGAGACTTTAAGGGGTGGTGATGCTGATTTAATCAGTAACAATCTCTTATATCAATGCTTGAAAAAGCCCCCAAATGATAAAATTAGAACTCAAAAACATTACATTATTGTGGCACATTAGTAAAGCATTGAATAGAAATATCTAACAGAAATTAATAAATGGTTTTATTTCCAAATACATGTCTGTTTCAATGAACTTAACCTCTCACTTAGTCTAAAATGTGACCATAACAGATCACTCAATTAACATTTAATTTTTCTTTTTATGAATCTAATCGACAGCACATGACACCAAACTGGGTGGCCAGGCATTTTTTATTCCCCTTCTAGATCCGCCCCTGCCACTAAGAATATCAGTCAGGTTTCTAATCTCTAAACAGTCATTTCCATCAACAAGATACCGCACCCATGTGTGGTGTTAAATGCAGCCTGCCTGGATGTTCTACAGGCCATATTTGAAGGTGATGCACTTACAGTGAGCTCTGCTCCAGAGATGTTGAGTTGGAAACGGCCATCTTGGTGGGCAGCAGCAAGCATGGGGTTAAAGACCTGGTCTGGGGTTAAATGCACATTATAGCTGTATAATTCATACACACACCAAACCACCCTGCTGATATAAGCTGCTGTTCCTTGGCTACCGTACTGGAGGAGATTGTTATTTCTTACTGATTCAGCAATGTCCTGATAAAACATGGTAGACATGAAAACCAAATTACAAAATTAGTTCATAAGTTACTGTAGTGTATACTGTGTATATATATGTATATATATATACATATATATACACATATATTTATTTCTTAAAATCTGGTTAATACATAATTATACCACATGCACATTCTCAGGGGATGCCAACCTAAAAGTTGCTGTCTAAACTATATCAGTGCCATCCTTACCACTACAAGAACGTCATTGTTAGACGAGGCTTCTTAATTCAAAATTGTGTTCAGTGACGTTTTTAAAATTTTTTCTTTCTAAATACATCTGCACATATCAGCTGGGGTACGGACGAGGTCAGGGAAAGATTGTGATAATAGTAAATAAACTATGGTCAAAGGTAGGTAACATAAGACTAAATAAAAGACACACTACTTCCTGCATTGGCACCAAACGTTGGCACTGGGCATAAAAGCCAGGCTGGGCTACGCAGATAGTTTAACAACATCTAAATAGCAAGAGATTGTTTTAATACAACTGATTTTGGTCTAGAAATGGATTGATCAACATATATCGTTGTTATTAACGACACACCTAAAACCTAAGACTTACTAAACTTAGGATTGGGACATGCCACATTCACATAAACAGGGGACACATCTTTTAATGTACCTTTCTTCTGTAATGTGCATAAGGTTCCACATTTCAAAAGCAAATGCAGTGGTAACTACTGACCTGACAACCAAAAGTAGAGCATCCTTTGTTCAGTCAGCTGACTGGGGTGGAAAACAGAGTCACTGATGACAGCGGAAGTGTTGTTGTACTTGGTCAGCCCCTGGAAGAAAGGTCGAGGGATGAATAGAGAGAGTATGAGCTTTAGATTCTTGTCTGCATGTACACTGAGAACTGCTGCTATCAAACAGTGATACAATGGGGACTGTGCAAAAGTTAATGGAGCTGAACAACAGCTGCGATTTCATTGGAAATTATATATCACAACCCAGTCTCCCATAAGCTACTGTGGTGTCAATGTTTGACAGTGTTGACAGTTTCTCTATGTAACCATAGTCTTTTGCCAGTCTTGACCTCTTCTAACTCACTTATAAACATCATTTTCAGAAGGTATGTTCTGACTGTATTTACAGGTATTGTTTACCTTGTGATATGATTCTATGTAGTTAGCAGTGATGGCAGGAGAAGCAGTAACACTGATATCCACACTGATGTTTCCATCAGTGAGGAAATGCTCTGTGAACACACACACACACACACACTGTTTAGATACATTCCAGATAAAATGTGAACATTTATACATACAGTGTCAGATCAATATTTATCTAAATTATTTAATAATGAATATATATTATATTTAATAATTCATGTAATGTTGTACACACATATGACCAAAGGAATGTGCTTTCTAAAAGATGTAAAGGTACCAGACTCTCTCTATTTTTCACACACACACACACGCACACACATATGCACACACACCTGCTGTGTCTTGTATGAAGTCAGCCAGTATATTTGCCACTTTGTTGATCTCCTTACAAATCTGCAGAACCAAATAAGAAGACATGAAGACGCTAACAGGCAGATGGTTGCGAATTACACTGCCAGGCTGAAATTGTGTGTGAGCTCTGTTTCTCTCGCCCTCACCTGTCCCTTTATGGCTACTTTGACGGTGAAGGTGATGAAGTTGGTGACAAGCTTTTTAAGCCAGTTCGGTCTGACCAAAAACAGCAAACACACGTTAGCAGGGTCATACACTGTTAGTATTACATAATGAAGATGCTTCTGCTGTTCTGCTAATGGTTCAGTTTGGTAACTTACTCTTTGTCTCCCTGCAGTTGCAGATGGAGCTTGTGAAAATTCAGATAACAGTCTGATGTGTCCGCTGCCACCTGCCCTTCTCCACAGTCTGACAGATAACAGAGAACATGATGAGAGGAGATATAAGGTGAGATGAAAGACAGTTGGTATCTATCTTTATTATTCAGTGCTTGAATTGCAAGCACTATGCTTACTGCAGTTTCTATCAAGCAGTCCCTGTGCACAGTACAAAACCAGATACTTACAAAGTTTGGGGTTGATTCCAAGATCAATCTGAGACTCAATTTCAAAGTCAATTGAATGTGTTACGTTGACACTATGAAAATGAGAAAGACATACAAATAAATACAATGATGCCACCATGGCTGAAGTTCAACCCACAGAAAGTCAAGCTTAATCAACAGGAAACCCACAGAGAGGGGTGCTGCTGGTTGACTGACATGTAAGCAGTTAGAGCACAACAACAATGAACTTGTAAAATACCAGCTGGAATTCTGAAGAGCAAAACAAGTGATATTGTGATATCTTGAATTACAAGATAAACATAAATACTAAAACATAATGTAGCAGCAGATGTAGAGAAGAATGACAAAGACAGCAAACTAAGTGAATATAGCAATATCAAGGTACCACAAGGTATCCCCACCTTGATAAACACTCACTTGTGACAGTTGCATCTGATGGTGTAATATGCAGCAATCTAAGTCGGTCACGATTAACGTTATGTAATTAGAATGGTGAAAGCCTGGACACACCAGCTTTCAAAGTTTTGCTGTGAAATAAATTAATTCCACTGGAACCAATGGGGTTAGTAGATTCACTTGGGGGGGGGCGTGAAGTCAATTCTCGCTGTTTTTTCACGTTGAGTTCAACTTTGGTGAACTCTGACCCACAAATCAGTGCTGTTGATAGCAAACCGCCTTCAAAGTGCTGACCTTGGAGGAAACGGAGAGTCTAAAATGGAGGAACCTGTCATATTAGCTGTGCCACATTCCCCTTCTATTTAATCTCTTCAGTCATATAAACGGCTCCACCAAAGAGGAATAGTTTTGAGGAGTAGCTGGTGCCACTTCTTATGTAACAAATGTATCATCTTTTTGTATAAAGAGAATAAAGTTAATGTGTCATTGATGAAAGGTAACAGGTTTGCTAACTGACAGCATACAGTTAGCAAGCTCGTTAGCTCGGAGAACTCTTTATTAAACTCAGAATAATTCATTTTAGGCCTCCTGGTCAGTTGCTGGTCTTAATTATTTGATTTATTTTTATTCCTACTTTCTCAAGGGTTTTTAACTCGTATTATTTAGGTAATGTGTGTGTTTTAATTGCAATAACTTATGTCTTATAGTTTTTTTGTGGCTGAAACGTTCATTTGTAGTAGCTAATGCACTGTCCACCATATTGTGCTTCTAGCTAAAGTGAAATGTGCTATATAAATGAAGTTTTGCTTGCTTGCTTATTGAATGAAATGATATCTGGTCCACAAAATGCCAGACTGGGTTAAATGTGCTAGCATTTCCCACTAATGGATACATACCATTAAATATTATGTTCCATGTCTGCCAATAGATCCTCCTAAATGTTACACAGTGGTCCTTTAAATAGACCTAACAGGACTAACAAGAACTAATATAGACTATTTTATGTTGTGGGATAAGTGTTTTAAATATGCTTTTCTTGCTGTGGACACGGGTTATTTTTCATCATGTGCTTTTCTAGTGTCTTTCACTGGGTTTGTACTGAGAGAACAAGAGAATGATGATGTGGGATGTTGCTCACACACACTCAGACTCACAGCCAGCCACCGTATCCATACTGGATGGTCCCTCTGAACACTGCTGACACGTTGCTTATTTTCATGCCGATGCCTTCACCTGGACGCAGTTCAAATTCACTCCGGCCAATCGACAAGTTGTGGATCTCCAAACTGGTGAGAAGCAATACATGATTTTAATACATTTTGTGTGTCCATCTGTGTATGTGTGTATATGAGTGTGTGTGTGTGTCTTCTTACTTTTCCAGACCATATATGACTTTGCCTATAAAGAGCAGGGATTTCTCTCCCCTTACATCTGGGTATCTGGCATGCTGGAACGCTGCCTCAATCACTTTAGTGGTTTTCTCATTCACTGCCGGCAACACACACACACACACAGACGTATGGTCAGACACACAGGTCCATGGCGGGGAAACACAAACACAAACCTATAAGTGACTGTTTATTCATAAAATTTTTCCACTTCCATATACCAAAAACAAACAGGTTACCCACTAGAAATCTTTTTCATAATAACATTACCACCATATTGAACCATGGGTGTATGCTGGACACGTGTGATTTACAGTGGTTCTGACCAGGACTCTAACCTTGTAGCGAGTTAATTTATGAGTAACTGTTAACGTTTATACATCGCCATCATGTTGAGTCTGACTATTAGTCCACTAGGGGAGTCGTTATTCGGGGGCAGCCCTACTAAAAGTTACATGGAAAACTTTTTTGCAATGAGCATGGAAATGTGGAGATTCATGGTTTTGATTTTGAGAATCACTTTCACTAAAAATACCCCTGGAGTGAAATCCATCATAAATTCCTTTAAAGAGCAGTTCTGGTAGGTTGGTGAATGATGATTGAATGATGAATTGTTAAACTGACTAAATACCAAAACAGGGTAAAAGTCCCACTCACACACAACTGCTGCAGGGTAGGTGAGGCGACATACAGCTCCAGTGAATCTGTAGGCTGAAGCCGGGTCCTTCAGGCAGGCTTGGGACGCCCCAAACACAGATAGGAACAGCAGAAGGAGCAACAGCGGCGGGGAACCATTACAGGGCATTGTGGACGTGGATATTTCACCTCTCTGAGAGTCGGTTGAGGTTTTTTACCCTGTGGACTATCAGCAGTTCACTGTAAGCTCAGCAGTTCACTGTAAGCTCATCCGTTGACTCCTGAGTGGTCCTGAGCAGTATTTTATCCAATCCCAGTTCAGTTCCAGAGCCTTAAAAATCCTTCTACTGGGTCCCTTTATACTCGAATTCTGCTCTCACACAAATGAGACTATGATTTTAAAGATTTCAGCGAGCTTTTTGGACTTTCCTTGGTTCTCTCTGAGAGAACCCTACAGCCTACTAACCTTGTTCTTTCCACTGCCAGGGAGGGCTCTATGTACTGCAACTATCTAGTGGAAACTGTCCTTCATCCAATCAGAGACAGACAACTTGTGTGGTTCACACTTGATGGACGAGCAAACACTGACTCACATTTGTGTTTTGCACAAGCTCCCCTGAAAGTAAACTGGTCAAAGTACAACCTTTCCTCTGATGATGTGAGTGCTACAAAACCTCAGATATACACAAACTCTAAAGCAAATTCAAATCAAATACTGAGTAAAGACATTTAAGGTTAAAATAAATGCTTTTTTTTCAATATATGGATTGCATTAAGGAAACTAGTACATGATAAACAGATGCTGACATACCAATACCCTGACATATCAATAAAAAGTAGATTTTGTTGTAGGTTTTATAAAAATACGGGGCAACAGTTATCACAATCAGTATACATACCCCACAAAGATGTCTTCAAAATGACCAGAAACACTAAATCCTCACAGTAGCCTACATGAGTGATGAGTCGATAATGGGTCTGAACTTATTCTACTTCGTTGCTCTCACCAAGTGTAAAACGCCGCTACGCTCTGGTCCAACTTTGTCTGAACAGACTCTTTCAACAAGTGCTGGCTCACAGGGGAACTCGATACAGTGAACTGTTCATTCCCTGGTGGTGATTCTCTTTGAATCTAATGAATCTGTTTGTTCCCCTCCAAACCCCCCCAGCTGAATGAGTTTGGTTTGAGAAGAAGGGGGAGGTACAGTAGGACACAGAGACAGACAACAAAGGGAGTAACTGATCTAGTTGGGGGAAGGTATAGGTGGGGGTGGGGGTCCGCAGGAGCCCAACAGCAGGAGAAACTGCTCTAGATGAAAGGTCTGTGTGTGTGTGTGT